AGCACCGTCACTCTGGAACCAGTTGCCACCCTCAGTTAGGCTGTCCCCATCTCTGCCAGTCTTTAAGAGTCACCTAAAAACCCACTTCCTCCGCTTGGCGTTCCCTGAACGTGTTTGAATTTGGCCCTCTTTTATGTTGATTTTATTTCCCTGTGTTCATTGGTCTCTTAATACCTTGTTTTACCCATTTGTCTTCTACCATAATGTTTTACCTTTTTTGTAACATTTGAATTGCTTTTATTTTCGATTTATTCATCATGTTTCACATTTCTCATGTATCGTGTTCAGCGCCTTGGGCTTCCCAACAGGGTCGCTGAAGGTGCTTTATAAATAAAGCATTGATTGATTGATTGATTGATTGATTGATCCAACAAGGATGTTGACATTAACTTGGGCTAGTGTTGTTCTGAGATTAGCATTACTTTGACCAGCATTTATAATAGGAGTGGGATGCAATGGGGAAAAAAATCTTATTGATTTGAGGTTTTGTAATTAAATAATCTTGATAATTCACATTTCAATTGTTGAAGAAAATGTATCCCCAAAACTTTCATCTTTGGGGTCATCTGAAGGCAATTGTCTATGGTGTGACAATACGAGATGTGCAGCACCTGAAACTACGGATACTGAAAACTTGTGCTGGCATTTGTCCTGTGGTGTCGCTATCAGTGTGTGAAGAGTGGGAGAAGAGGGTTGCATTGAAAATCCAATGTAATGGGCAGCACATTGAACACATGTTATAAGTGGTCAGAAACATGTAAATAACTCATGAAAGAATACAGTTGCATTCAGACCAAGCACACCATTGTGTTTCTTGTGAAACACCCAATAAATTTGATGTGTCACATGACCCCGTTCCTATATTTAAAACATAAGTTGGATCCAAGATGGCTGACTTCTAAATGGTCACCATGGTCACCACCCATCTTGAAATGTTTGCCCCCTCATATATTGTAATGAAAGTAGCAGTGGGCAGCACGGGCAGAATATCTGGCCCTCCAGTCAGAACCCGAAAACACCACCAGTAGGCAATGACTTATAAAAGGATACGCTTTATTGCACCATATACTAAAACACAATAATAGAACCCAATAATAAAACACTATAATAAAACACTATGGCCAAAGTCTTTACTCCTAAAATCAGCTGTCCAGCATGAACAAACAAGCAGCGGTACTTAGCTGTCACGGATGGTGTGACCCCCCTCCCCGGGATCTAAGCTTCCAATGCCGTCCAACGCCCCGGGGTATAGCTTGCGAGGACGGTGGGTAAATCCACACGTAAGTCCACTGCCAGAGTCCGTAGTGGCAGATGTCGGCGTGGTCTTGGCATCCGCTATGCCCAGCTCTCGCTGTCTAAAGAAGGCGACCAGCCTTCCCTCCTGACGCTGGAACTCTAAACACCTGTTTAACTATCTTCATCGCCGACAGCCCTAAACGACTGCGAATGACCCTACCCCCCAAAGTCCGATGCCACAATGACAGGTCGACCACGCACACCTCTCAGTAGGCCTGTCACCTTTTTATCCTCCCTGGCCTCGTTATGGATAACGAGGACCAGCTGGTGTCCAATAACCACACCCTCAGAGCCCGGCAGCTTCCGTCTTCTGTCCATCACAATATATTAATATGCCACAAACAGGACGTTAATATCACCAACCATTCCCAATGCAGTTTTCAACCTGGCTGTGGAACACTGTACCAGCTCTATACCCTTAGGGCAGGGGTGTCAAACTCAAACTCACACGGGGCCGAAATCAAACTCTGGGACTTAATATTTTTTGAAAAAGTGACGGCAAATTTGCACATTTTCTTTATCAACATTTATGCAATTTTGAACTTTTAAATTTGGAAACAAACGTATTTCTGCATTAACACTGAATGTGGAATAACCAAATTACACACGAGCAAGTCCGTTTTAAATAAAACACATCAGTGGTATTCATTACTTGTGGTATATTCAGCATTTTTAAAATCTATTCAGGATTTATGTTTTCTTGTTTATTCATTTTTCTTATTTTTTATTCTCCTTTTTTTCTCACATAGGTTTGTGCTGATGAACATGTCTGAGCAGCTTGACCACGTTGTTGTGTGTCGGGGAGGAAACACAACCACAGAGCCGTGCTGGTTTGAGCGTGTCGCTGTTCGCTGGAGTTATATCAGCTCTGTCTGGAAGTTAGTTGGAAAACTTTCTCTTTCAGTCGTGAACACTTCACTGAGCGGCTAGAATCTCCGTTTCTGGGCTTCAACGTCAGAAAACAGCTGAGTGAACTCGGCGCTGAGTGAGAGGAGAGTTTAGTTTGTCCGAGACAGTGAAGCTGCAGACACCCAACTACCCCTGACTGCCTCGGCGCTGGAAAAAACACAAAGGAGGGGCCACGTCGGCTCCACGCTGACGCCGCAAAGCATCATGGGAGTTGAAGTCTTTGCAGTAAAATCGGCCAGCGGGCCAGTTTTAATATAATTTTGATATTTATCTCGCGGGCCACATAAAAATGCTCCGCAGGCCGCATCTGGCCCGCAGGCCTTCAGCCTGACATATGTGCCTTAGGGGGTCCTGGGGGGTGCGTGGGACTTTCCCCAACCAATCTACATGTGTTTTGTGGATTTGGAGAAGGGCGTTAGACCGCATCTCTCAGGGGGCCCTGTGGGGGGTACTTTGGGATTATGGGGTACCAGACCCTCTGATATTGTCTGTTAGGTCCCTGTATGACTGATGCCAGAGCTTGGTCCGCATTGCTGGCAGTAAGTCGAGTATATTTCTATTGAGAGTTGTACTCCACCAAGGCTGCCCTTTGTCATCGATTCTGTTCATAACTTTTATGGACAGGATTTCTAGTCGCAGCCAAGGTGTTGAGGATCAGTTTTTGGTGATCTGAGGATTGGGTCTCTGCTTTTTGCAGATGATGTAGCCCTGTCTTCATCAGAATGTGATCTTCAGCTTTCACTGGAGTGGTTCACAGCCGAGTGTGAAGCAACTTGGATGAGAATCTTCTCGTTTAAATCTGAGATAATGGTCTTGAATCAAAAAATGGTAGAATGCTTTCTTCGGGTCAGGGTTAGGGTTAGGGTTAGGGAGGCCCCAAGTGGAGGAGTTTAAGTATCTCAGGGTCTTGTTCAAGAGTGAAGGAAAGATGGAGGCGAATTGGTGCTGTGTCTGCAGTGATGCAGTCATTGTACTGATCTGTCGTGGTGAAGCGAAAGCTGAGCCAGAAGGTAAAGCTCTCAATTTATTGGTTGATCTACGTTCCTACTCTCACCTATGGTCACGAGCTTTGGGTAGTGACCGAAAGAATGAGATCACAAATACAAGCGACCAAAATTAGTTTTCTCTACAGGGTGGCTGAGCTCTCTATTAGAGATAGGGTGAGATGCTCGGTCATCCGGGAGGGGCTCGGAGTAGATCCGGTGCTGCTCCACATTGAGAGGAGCCAGTTGAGGTGGCTTGGTGGTTAGGATGCCTCATGGATGCTTACCTGGTAAGGTATTCCAGGCACGTCCAACTGGGAGAAGACCTAAAGGAAGACCCAGGACACGCTGGAGGGACTATGGCTCTTGGCTGGCCAGAGTACTCCTTGGGATTGGCTGGGGAGAGGAAAGTCTGGGCATCTTACGACCTGATTTCAGATAAGTGGACGGAAATGGATGGAAATGGAAATTTAGCTTTTTGATCACATTTGAAAGAAATGAATGAAAAATATCTAAAATGTTTTATGCAATTGTATTGTATCATAGTGTTTTAAAGCTCAATTTTAGATGCCTAGTTGCCAAAAGAACTGGGTCAACAGAAAGGCTGAAGTGTTAAAAAATAAGTGTGAAGAGCAGAACAGAGTAAATGTCAGTTTTTAAAAACAAAGCCACTAATTTTAGTTCAAATCCAACCTGGTGAAACTGCAATGCCAGAAACACAATTTTTCATTGCATCTTAGATGAAGCTAGTTTAAACTGGATCATGCCAGAATAGCTTTAGGTGTTTAGATCTCTCCAAAAAACAAGTCTCGATATTTGGCCTGAAAGTTGTTGCAACCTACCTTGGCAAACACACGCTTTTCTTTAGCAGCTTAAAACGTGGTAGGATGGTGTTTCTCTAACAGAAAAAAAAAACAACTAGCACTTTACTGGTCACAGCAGATGGAGGAGGGAATGAAAAAGAAAAAGCACCTCCAACATGTTTATTTTCTTCGGTAAAATCGAAGAGAACGTTGGTCCCGAGGGAGGTGGGCGAGCAGAGTAGAGCAGAGCAGCGCGGTTTGCGAAGGAAACTGTGTGCATGGATAAATCAGAGTTTGGGTATAGACTTCTAAAGGCATGTGAGAGATGTGATTTCCAGTAATTAAAGAAATGTATCATTCAGGATTTTACATTGATGTTGTGAAAACAAATAAGGATCAAGCACAAATTGAAAACCTACCTGCTGGAAATGTGGACTGAATTATGTGTTCCTCTCCACCTCAACAACCAGATTTTTTATGCAAGGATTAAGTCCAGCTAACCTTAACAGCACACACATTTCATTCAAGCACTGCAATCGTTCTTTTCTTTATATTTATATATATGTGCCTCCAGAGAAGATTACAATCACTTTGCTGCGGTACAAAGATTCCTTTCACATGTAACACGGGAAGTGTAAACAGAAACCGTATGAAGGTCGGCTCTGGGCAGGAATGAATACATGAATAAATAAATAAGCAAACAGTCAACTGTACTGATCAAATGTACAGTAAAGTCTGGAAATAAGCACAGGAATATCTGGTTTGGTTCATTTGAACTGGATTTTCATTCGGGAAACCAAGATTGTTCCTTTCTGTTGCGGATGTTGAATATTTTAGTGGCATCTTCCTATTGAAGCAAGTGCATAAACAGTCAAACACATCTAATGTATTCAAAATATTACCAGATGTATTTTTATTCTTTTATCAATTATTTGCATGTGTAGCACCCAACTCAAGTAGCTCTGGATTAACCCTCGGTTAAGATGGTGATAGTACTATGAGCGGGGCCCTGGGTACATTAACTAATCTTATTGGTAAACAGGAGAAACAATGACTAACCAGTTTTAACCTTTGTGAGCTCATTCACTGAAACCGTTGCAGGCCTGATCGTTGCTTGGGCTCGTTGGGCCAGAAAACACACAAATGGCCGCTTCACTTGATAACCAGTAGAAAACAAAATGCACGTGCTCAGGTCTACTCACGAATCCTTTGGGCTAAGTGCAAGGCAAACGGAGGGGCAGTCTTGGTTGGTGACCATGCGGCCTCCACTCGGCAAGGTGGTCGGAATTAGCGGCATACCCGGGCTGCTGAGTACACTGGAACAACCACACAGAACTCCTATCCACAGCAGAAGAGTCCAGAGAATTCCTCTCGGTCCACTGTGCATTAGAGATTACTATTTAGTTCCACAGAATAAGCTGTATCTTACGTACTCGACATACATAGCTATTACAGGCTCTAAAATGCTAACATGCTAACTCGAGATTAGCACCATACATTTTAAGTACTTATACATTCCGTTTAAGCTCAATGCTAACTCCACATTCAGTACTCACTCATCACAGGGTAAAACAGTCCATAACAGGAACGTAGACTCTGCATCCACAGCTATTATTTCACTATTCTTCCATTAGCTCTGGTACACAACCTCCTCCCGCAACGTGCTGCTGCCGACTCTCACTAGCTTCGCTGTTTTTTCTTTCTTTTGCCTCACTTAGCTCCCGCCTCCCTTACGTCTGATTGGACAGTAGGTTTACATCAACCAATGGGATAAAAGAAAATACAAGATTGACAACCCAAAATGAACTTGTAAAACAACTTGAAACAATACAAAGTTTTCCTTGTTTCACATTAGATAAACCTTTAGTTTCATTGTTACTTATAACTCCATGAACACTCAAATTATGATTGACTTCTATTTATTGTGATTTTAAACACATTTTTAACCATTTGAACTCCTTGTTTTTTCAAATATATGAAATATTTACAATAAAGGCTTTATACAATATTTATATCCTTTTAACCTGTAGGGTCTAGAATAGATATTTGAGACCAGGCTACACCCTCCCCGTCTAAAACATTTAGATGTCCTCATCTAATGCAGGATTTTAGACTTTGGCTCAGAGTAGTACCTTGGGTATTTAGAGTGTTTTCCATTATGGTTTTTATCTCTGGTGCTACTGAGGTTCAACTGTATGACCATGCCTTGGTGTACAATAGTCACAGGTTCCTCAGACTGCTTTCCAGGTTTGTCATAGGTCAAGCGGATTACTGGTTTCACCTCTCGCTTTGACTTTCGAGTTTTAGGTCTTATGGTAGTCTCCAACTCCTCTTCTGTGTCTGCCGCCGTATCACTAGTATCTCCTCCCACATTTGATGGCTGGCATTCCTCTTCATGGGAACTTTCAGAAGGTCCTTCCTCCAATTCCTGTTCACTTTCAGATGAGGGGGAATTATCAGATAGAAGAGGTTCTGTGTTAGGTCTATCGGGTCTGACTTCATGTCTCTGAACATGGTCACTGTTAATGGTGGGGTACTTGTAGACATACTCGTTCTCAGATTCGGAGTCTGGCAAGACATCAGATAATCGATCTTCTTGGTCCCGTATCAGACGCCTGTTGGCATGACGGCTTCTGGCAACTGGTGTTCTTACTCTTTCAGGTGGGACTGAGTTGATTCTGACAAGATAACCGATAGGTAGCAGATGGTCTCTGTGTAGAGTTTTGACACCTCCAGATCCTTGTTCCGGTTTTACCTTGTACACAGGTAGGTTCGGCAGTTGTGCGATGACAATGTAAGGTATTGACTTCCATCGGTCTTGCAGTTTGTGTTTACCAGTAAGGCCAACATTTCTTATCAGGACTCTGTCTCCTTCTTGTAACGGTTGGTCTCTTACTCTTTGGTCATTACGTGACTTGTTCCTCAAATGGTTCTTTGTTGCACTCTCGGTAGCTAAATGGTATGCTTGTTTGAGTTCTTTCCTCATCTTGTTGCCGTACTGCAGGTGAGTCATCTCCGCGTCATCTTCAAGAACAGCACCAAAGCAAATGTCAATGGGTAATCTGGCATTACGACCAAACATTAAATAGTATGGCGAATATCCAGTAGACTCATTTTTTGAGCAGTTATATGCATGTACTAACTGGCTAATGTGCTGACTCCAGTTTTGTTTATGTACATTTTCAAGAGTTCCAAGCATTGAAAGCAAGGTTCTGTTGAACCGTTCTGGCTGAGGATCTCCTTGTGGATGAGATGGTGAAATACGTGATTTTCGGATACCTAGCATAGACAAGAGCTCTTTGATAAGGCGGCTTTCAAAGTCTCTACCTTGATCTGAGTGTATCCGGGCAGGTAATCCGTAATGCACAAAGTACTTCTCCCATAATACTTTTGCAACTGTGACTGACTTTTGGTCTTTTGTAGGGAATGCTTGGGCGTACCTAGTGTAATGATCGGTCACTACTAGTACATTAGCAACTCCTTTGCTATCTGGTTCAATCTGAAGAAAGTCAATACAGACTAGATCTAAAGGACCTTTGCTAGTGATTTGACAGAGTGGAGACGACCGTTGTGGGAGAGTTTTGCGAGAGACACAACGTCCACACGTTTTGATGTACTGGTCCACATCAGCATTCATGCGTGGCCAATAGAAACGGTCTTTGAGGAGTTCTGTTGTCTTCTCAACTCCTAGATGTCCACATTCATCATGTAGTGATCTCATTACACTTGTTCTGTATTGCTCTGGTAAAACCAGTTGTTTGTGAACTGTGCCATTGGCCAGTTTTCTCTGTCGATACAGTATTTTGTCTCTCAGTTCAAGTTTCCTGCTCTCACGATTTAACAAAGACATATCAGGAGGTGAATGTATGGATGTGATAAGTTGCTTTCCAGTTTGGATGGCTTGTTTGACTGGTCCAATGACTGGGTCCAGATCTTGAGCAACTTGTAAGTCTGTAGGAGTCAAGTGATCTTCCAAAGCTGCTTTTAGGCTTACTGGAAGGACGTAAGCTTCTGGAATCACGGATGTAGGAACTCCCAGATGGTCTACTAGCCTGACAGGGGACTTAGTAGCTTCATAGATGGCTTCCTTTTTACAGATTGCTTTTATGGCAGACTGTGGGACATCTGTCCATTCAGTGTCATTGGTGTGTTGTCGGGACAATAGATCTGCATCTATGTTGTGACGACCAGGACGATATTGGATGTTGAAATCGTACGTGGCTAAAGCTGCAAGCCAACGATGTCCAACAGCATTTAGCTTTGCAGTGGTCAACACGTAGGTTAGGGGGTTGTTATCGGTTCTAACCGTGAACTTAGCTCCATAAAGGTAGTCATGAAATTTATCCACGACCGCCCACTTTAGTGCTAAGAACTCCAGTTGATGGACCGGATAGTTTCGTTCTGAGTCACTGATCCTTCGGCTAGCAAAAGCAACAGGCTTAAGGCCCTCAGGGTACTCTTGATTGAGCACAGCACCTAAACCGTTTAGGCTAGCATCCACATGTAGGACATAAGGTTTGGTGGAATCTGCAAATGCCAAAACAGGGGCATTGGTCAGACATTCAATGATTTTTTTGAATGCGACTTGACAGGAGTGGTCCCATCGCTCTTTGAATGGCTCAGAAGGTTTGAGATAGGTTTTGGTTGGGTCTTTGGTTTGAGCTCCCTTGTTTTTCTGAGTAGGTGGATAACCTTTGGTAAGCTCAGTTAATGGGCGGACTATGCTGGAATAATTTGCAATAAATCTGCGATAATACCCACAGAAACCAAGGAATGAGCGAAGGGTTTTTAGATCTGTTGGCTCCGGCCAGTTCCTGACAACCTCTACTTTTTCGGGATCGGTGGCTATCCCATCTTTTGAGACAATATGACCAACATATTTGACTTGGGACTGACAGAACTGACATTTGTCAAGCGACAATTTCAGACCAAACTCCTCAAGGCGATCTAAGACTTTTAGGAGACGTTGCTCATGCTCTTCGAGTGTTCTACCAAAGACGATTATGTCGTCAAGGTACACTAGGACTTGGAGAAGGTGCATATCACCCACTGCCTTTTCCATGAGCCGCTGAAAAGTGGCTGGGGCTCCTGTGATGCCTTGTGGCATTCGTTCAAATTGATAGAACCCCAGGGGGCAGATAAATGCAGTCTTTTCCTTATCTTGCTCAGACATGGCAATTTGGTAGTACCCACTCCTAAGATCGAGGACTGAGAACCATTTGCTGCCCGTAAGACAATCTAAGGCGTCATCAATACGAGGGATGGTATACTGGTCGGGGATCGTACGGCTGTTTAAAGTTCTGTAGTCGATGCAGATTCTGATGGAGCCATTTTTTTTCGCACTGCAACAATAGGTGATGCAAAGGGGCTTCGAGACTCTTTGATAATGCCTGCCGCTAACAACTGCTGTAGGTGTTGTCGTACATCATCAATATCTGCTGGAGCTAAGCGGCGTGAGCGCTCTCTAAAGGGGGTAGAGTTGCTAAGCCGGATGTTATGTTCTACGTCTTTAGCCAATCCCACATCCCATTCATCAAGAGAGAAAACATTACGCCTCTGCGCTAGCTTTTGCTGTAGTCTTTTCTTCCACTCTGTTGGAGCAGGAGAGTCACCAAAATCAAAGAGTTCGGGAGCTACGGTACTAGCTTCAGACTCTAACACTTTAGGATCGGTGACTACGTCTACTGCATGCATCTCGGCAATGACTGTGCCGACTTGGATAGAGGTAGGTTTCTCTGACTCATTCTGTAATAGCACGATGAAACTGTTCTCATCCATGTCACTTTCACGGAGAACACCTGGCTGGACCAACACTGCGGATGGGAGTTGGGGTATGGCAGGTGCCTCAACCAAAACAACATCTTGGGGTTTAGTTCTTTTCTGCTCTACTTTACAGGTGGCATAACAATTTTTCCCTGGAGCAATGGTAAGTGGCCCTGGACCTTGCCATTTCACTTGCCCTATGGGATCGTCGCCTCCACTGGACCTTAAGGACTGAGTTTGGATTTTATCATAAACTGCCTGTATCCTCATGGAGCTGACCTTGTTCTCGTTACCGCTATCTCTGCACAACTGAAATAGGCGGCTGAACAGAAAAGCGTTGGTACCAACCACTACAGGAGTTTCACGACCTTGCGGGGGCTCTGGACAAACAAGAGCGAGGACATTAAGAGGACCCTTGACACCTGCTACATTCTCAGGGAACTCTATCTCTACTACTACATACCCATGGTAAGGGTAGGACTCAGCTGATAGGCCCCAGATGGCTAGATTGGAAATGGGCTGTATAGGGACTGTTGGTATATTGGCTCTATACCAATCCTCAAAGATAATGGTCACTGATGATCCTGAATCCATAAGACCATGGCATGAGATGTTATTGACCTTATTAGGAGCTATGGATGATGGACCAATAAGACCTTCCGGTATGTTGGCACTTTGAGTTGGAACGTTGGTAGTATTAACTCGAGCAACACACTGATCTTGAGCGTCGGTACTTTGACTTTGTCCATTTGGGCTTCCATGCACTTGATGAATAAGCTTTTTGATTACCTTTTGAGCATTTTCCGGAGCTGTACATTTATTTGCAAAATGGCCATTTTCTCCACATCTGTAGCAGAAATTATCTGACTCTTTACTACTCTTTGGCTTAAAGGTAGATGACTTTGGACTGAAGTCCGCTTTGAACTTAGAATAGTGCCCTCTCTCTTTTGCATAATGTTGTGGCGTTACCGACATGACACTTAACTGTGTTTTCAGCTCTTTGACTTCTTTTCTTAACTGTTGCACTTCGCTGCTTGTGTCTGATTTCTCTTTTTTCTTTTCTCTGGACATCTTTTTGTGGCTTGACTCTGTAGAATGAGACTGCTTACTGAGCTCTTTCAGCTTTTCTTTTAGCACTTGAATTTCGGACTGAAACTCATGTTGCTGACAATCTCTGGAGTCTGTTTCACTTGCTACTTGCACTGCATGCACGTGCTGTCTCTGTGCTGGTTTTTTCAGTTTTTGTCTTGCAGCTTCACGCTCCTCTTCTTCTCGAATTTCTTTCAGTAGACTTAAAAATGTCGGGGGATCACTTCGCTTACCTCTAAGACCTAGATGAAGCAGCATGAAGTCTGATTCAGTAGCACCTTTAATGAGTTGCTCAAGCCTTGCTCGGTTGGCTTCATCTACTTGTAGGCCTCCTTTTTGCACGACTTTGTTCAGTAATCTTTCCAGTCTCAGCAAGAAGTTAGACAAGCACTCCCCTTGTCTTTGATGCATAGCTCTGAATGTGAGATACAGTTCCTCACCGGATTCTGCGGTACCAAAGGTACTTTCCAATGCCTGTATGCAGTCCACATGGTTTGCCAGGGGATTAGACATGCGCACTGCTTGAATGATCTCCAGCGCTGGCCCTTTGAGACTCTCAATAATTCTTCGGCGTTTCTCCTTATCTGAGCAATCATACTCATCAGTCATGAACTTTACTTGTTCTAGCCAGCTATCCAAGTTGTCTTCACCAGGTGGAGTAGGGTAGACTCCTGAGAAGATTCTAAAACGACGGTATAAATTGCTTTCATTTGGCTTGGACTGCAACACATCACCTACCACCCGAATGATTGACTCAGGGCTGCTGTTCCATGGAGTTCTAGGATCACATAGTCTTTGAACATTCTCCATTGTTTTCCCTTCATCACGCAGAAATCTGTCCAACTTCTCTGTGAATAGGTCGGAGTTCGTTTCTTGCTCTGCAACAACTATTGTCCATTTACTTCCATCCTTAAAGGAAATCAACTCTGGCGGAACTTTGGTAGGATCGACTGCTTCACGGCATTCACATAACATGGTCAGGGTTTGATTATTGGCATCAAACATTTTTCCTCTTACTCTTACCTTGCCCAAGGTTTTTACTTGTTCGAGTGTTTCTTCTACTGTGGATAGGTCCTCCTCTTCAGGCACTCCGACAACTAGAATGGCATGTGCCTGATCGAGCCCTTCACCTCTGCACCAATTTGCAAGATTCGGTTGTGA